GCAGTTTTCTCAAGAGCACAAATCAGTCTCACTCGCTGGCGGAGGAAGACTGAAAGCATCAGGCACTCAAGCATGACGTCTTCAAAACTCTGACATCAGCTCGTTACCCCCCCTCTCCTCCCCCTCCCTTCATTCTGCCTCTCCCTCTCCCCCGGGCTGGGATTCGTCCCTGACTCTCTCTCTCGCTCTTCCTTCCTGACTTCTCCCTGAAATCTCTCTCCTTTTCTCTTCCTGACCTCTGACTTCCTCTTTCCCTTCACTCTTTGCTGCCTACTCCCTTCCTCTCTCTCTCTCTCTCTTTTCTCTCACCTGACTTCCCTCCTTATTACGCCCTCCTCCCTCTCGCCCCCTTCTCTCTCTCTCTCTCTCCCTGATTCTTCTCCCTCACCCTCTTTCTTTCTCCTCTCTCTCTATCCTCCTCTTTAGCTAACGCCACCAATCTCCTACTTCCCGTTCCCCCTCCCTTCACCCCGCCTCCCCTCAATGACATCCGCTCCATCCTTTACCCCCATTTCCCCCTCCCTCCCTCCCTATCCATCAGACCCCCCCACCTCCCAACCAACAGTGTCCCCCCCTCCATCGCACTGGCTTTTGTTTTTCCGCTCCGGCAAAGACAGATATATGAGGCTGCTATGCTGAAGTCCGGCCTATCCCTCTCTCCCTGTCCCCCATTACTGCCTCTGCCTCCCCTCTCCCCTCTCCCCAATACTGCCCTCCTCCCCCCTCCCTCTCTCCCCCACTAACACTTCCTCCATCCCTCTCTCCCCTATCCCCCACCACTGACTCTGCCATCCCCATCCTCCTCCTATCTCCGCCAGATGGAACCCTCGCAGTAGGGAACGGGGCATGGAAGGAAGGAAGAAGGAAGAAAAAAGGGAGGAAGGAGGGGAAGGAAGGAGGGAAGGAGGGAAGGAGGGAGGGGAGGGAGGGGGGGAAGGAAGGAAGGAAGGAAGGAAGGAAGGAAGGAAAGGAGGAAAGGAAGTAAGATAGGAATAAAGGAAAAGGTAAAGGAGTAAGGAGGTAAGGATGTAAAGCGAAAGAAGGAAGGAAAGTAAAGAGAAGGAGGGAGAGGGGAGAGGGAAGGGAGGGAGGGAGGGAGGGAGGGAGAGAGACGAGAGAGAGAGAGAGAGAGAGAGAGAGAGAGAGAAGAGAGAGAGAGAGAGAGAGGAGAGAGAGAGAGAGAGAGAGAGAGAGAGAGAGAGAGAGAGAGAGAGAGAGAGAGAGGAGAGAGAGAGAGAGAGAGAGGGAGAGAGAGAGAGAGAGGAGAGAGAGAGAGAGAGAGAGAGAGAGAGAGAGAGAGAGAGAGAGAGAGAGAGAGAGAGAGAGAGAGAGAGAGAGAGAGGAGAGAGCGAGAGAGAGAGAGAGAGAGAGAGAGGAGAGAGAGAGAGAAGAGAGAGAGAGAGAGAGAGAGAATGAGAGAAGAGAGAGAGAGAGAGAGAGAGAGAGAGAGAGAGAGGGAAGAGAGAGAAGAGAGAGAGAGAGAAGAAAAGAAAATATGATTGAAATGAGTAGTAAAGAATACACAGCAGATAAATGCGGGGATTGCGAGGCTGTGAACACGATGGTGCGGGAGAGTTTCGCCAAAATTGAAAGTGTGTCTGCGCCGCTCTGGGCTGGTGTTCCGCATAAAAAAGAAAGCAAAAAAGAGAGAAAACTAAAAGCGAGGAAAACGATATCATGGAAACGGAACAAAGAACAATGACACTGTTTCGCTTTTTTTTTATATTAATGCGAAAAAAAACGAAAATAAATAAACAAAAGCATATGATGGTAATTAAAATAAAAAAAGTAAATTCATAAATAAAAAACGGTCATAAAAGCACCAACAAAACAAACAAAAAACAGCAAACAAACGAACTTAAATCGACGACCCACCGCCCACGACAATAAAATGCCTCCCACCTTGTCTAATATAAAACCAAGAACTACTGGTGGCGGGGGCGGCGGCTGAGGCTGAGGGAGGGGG